CCTACAATTTACTGAGATATATCAAGGTTTACTATGCTAAGACCTGAATTGCACTTAAAAAAGGGAAAGCAATCTCCATCTTTCTTTCACTTCCTTCTACTTCAGAGATTTAATCACTTTTGACAATAGAATTCTTCAGAAAAGAACATATGAAATGTTAATTTTTTCCAAACAATTTTGAAATATTTATGAAAAAAATGAGATAGTCCAGTGAAAATTTAGTACGTGTTCCACTCTGCTTGAGAAACAAACACTGAAGTAAGCCTTTCAGGACCAGAATAGATATGCATAGGAAAAAAAAAAAAAACCCAAACAAAAAAACCCAAACGGCCATATTGAGAGAATCTCATTTTATCACTACCCTTCCTAAGCAATTCCACTAACTGTGGTTAGTGAGAATCTCACATAGGAAATGATGACAGAACAGGACATAGTATTAACAACCAACAGCTGGTGGAAACAAGTTATGCATTGTGTTACATTGAAAGAGGTTACGACAGCACAAATCTGCAACTATAAAACCATGATGTAAAAGAAAAATATGTGACCTTTTTTTGCACAATATTTACATGTAAATAAGCTTTGATCCTCGCAAAATATCTTTACAAGAGCACAATTCATGAACAAACTGCTAAGATTTCTTTTAAAAATATTGCAGAAACTGAGCTCTTTAATATTTTGTTTAGAAGAATCTTAGTGTGTCCCTATCTCTCATGCCTGCCTCTTTCCCACCTCAGCGTAGTTTACCTCTAATGCCGGGGTTGACAGCAGGACATGGGTTGACTGAACAACATCTGCAGCATGTATGTTATTGTGATATGCCACATCTGCATGGTAATGGTCTTCCAGGGTCATCAAGTAAGTTATTAAAGTGTCTACTGGAATCTTAAATGTTTTCAGTAAGTCCCGTTCCTAGAAAAGGAAAAGAAACAATTAAGATTACAAAGCACAGAAAAATCTCTAAGATAAGGAAAAAGCAGCACGGCTGCTGCTACTTGCCTGAAAAATAGTGTGCATGATGACTGTCAAAGGTCTGTTTCCAGACAACTCTGCTACTCTGAAAACCTGAAGGCCCCATTTGTTCACATCTTCTAGTTCCTAGAGCAGAATCAAGCAACAGACATGTTGAAACCTAACACAGAAATTCCAGCGATTTTTGAATGAAACAGCTACAAACAGCAGACTCATGAAGATTCAAACCTTGCCACTGAAAATTATATGCTAAACTCTGAGAGGTGGAAAGCTGCTGTTACTGATCTTGTAATATTTGAATTTGCAGCTACCAAACTTCTCAGATTTTAATTCACTAAACAGGAAAGAATGCCTCTTAAGTGGATTGCTCCAGAGGGAAAAATGCTACAGTATCATGAATGAGCTGAACTGACAAACTTGGCTATCTCACTGCCCAGTGACAGCAGAGTTCAGCGAGGAGGAAACCTCCAGAGATGCTGCGGTTCTGCTGCTGTCTCCCGGGTTCTCAGGAACACTCTTCAAATAAAGGAGGAGATTCCTGAAAATGTAAGGATAAATATATCTCAAAATGCAAAACTCTAAAATTCAACAAATAATCACTTTATGCCAGGTTTAGATTATTGCCAACTAGTTAGTTGTTGGTGCAAGAATCATAGGAAATGTCACTAAAAACAAAACTGCAAATGATGTATGTAAAATGACACAGCTGAAGACAAGACCTGGAAGGATAGCTCTAATGCTATATACCAGTTGTGCATTTTCAGAAAACTCAGGGCTGCTCTTTGTTTTCATTCCTGTGACAGTGTATAGTATGTTTACTCTTCATTCCTCAGATACTATTTAGGAATAAGTAGCTTTATTAATACATACACAAATGCTAATTTACATTCCACCTCCAGATGAAATCCTGTGTGCATGGAAATTAAACTTATGGCCTGACTCTGATTTTACTTGTTATTCTTCCACTTCACCAAATTTATACTGTTTCAGGTGAGACCAGCCTTCAGTGCTACAGCTTGAAATCGATGGTTTTAAGCAGAAGAAGGAATAATACTGATGAGTCCACCCTCTATTTTAATTCAATGGTGTAAATTCAAAGACTTATATATTCTATACCTTGGCAAGAACATCTTCTTGGTCTGTTTTAACTCCAAATCTGGGAATACTGGAATTAGTTAGGCTGGAGCTGTGCATCAGTTTTTTGACTCCACTGATCTGGGACATTGGCCTCTTCTTTTTCTCTTTCTCTTTCTGTGTCGGAGAAGGGATTTCAACTTCATGTTGCTTGTCTTCAAAAGAATGAAGAAAAGGAGAATAATTTTTAAAGGAACTACAAATATTTTTGTCCATTTCACTGTTGAGTTGCATCTTATGGATACTGTAATTCTTAACAAAATGTTTTTTTATTTTTATGTTTGGAGATTTTGCAACAGATACTTCCTATCAAGAACAGTAAAACATGAAAAGATAAACATAGACCTATACCTCAGTATAAGAAGATCTGTATTTCACAAATTGTCTCATCATTTCTGAACTTGTTTTAAATGTGACTTGCAACTGTCTGCTTTCCACTTCTCCTGCACTCCTAGTACTGTAGAGACGGCCAATGCTTTCATTATAAAAATGTTATTACAACTGAACAGAAATCTAAACTTGTATTTTGCAAAAAAAAAAAATTAATTTCTGCTTTTCCAGGAAAAACACAAAAAACAAAATTCAAAAACAATCAAAAAGGTATCTCATGTAAAACTTTACAAAACATTTTCGGGACTCAAAGGACCTAATACTTGGGGACTAGTCCTGTTTGTGAAGACTGTACAACCCAGAAAGCCTTCTGCCAGCCACATCTACAAGCGCTTTGGAGAGCACCTCACGCCAGCAATGCAGTGCATTTCTGCACCTTCCAACCAGAGTAATACTGGCAAAAGGACTGTTTTGCCATAACCCAAAATTTTGCTGCGGGCTTTTGCCTCCATAGCAGTATCAGTGGCATCACTCATCAACATATGTGCCAGCAAAACTTTAGGTAGGATTAAACTGAGAGTAAAAGTATATTAAGGCCATCTCCAGTTGATTGCTGCAGAAGCAGCATGGGGGTGCGGAGCACTGCAAACATCTGTGGTCCCCAAAGAAACCCAAGTTAGTGCAATGAAGGACTCTCCTGCTAAAAGTGCTAGGAATTTGCATTAATTTTTGTTCTTTTTATTCATACTATATTTCAACATAGAGTTTTAATGACTCCTGCCTAACACGGACCCCTGAGGGACGCGGCTCGATGTCCAAGTGGAGACCGGTCAC